AGGGCTTTTTCCCCTCTTGTTTGTCAGGTACACAGCAAATGCTATCATTTATGGTGCCAAACTATTTAGTTTACTTTTCTTATGTGTCTTTTGCTACACTGTGTTTCTATTTGTTTAGCATGTTGGCACCATGGTGAGGTGTCAAGTAAAGGTTGCTATTGAATTTTAGCCTGTTTCCAACTGTTTCCAAGCAAAGTCGCCAAGCTTTTTCCACATACTGAGCTTTGTTTGAAAGAAGTCAAGTGAATTCACACGTTCTCTCAGCACAAAGCTCAACATCCATCTTCAGAGTACATCATCACAGAACAGCATGTTCTCTGTTCAGTGTGAACCTACTGCTTGTCCTACAACATAAAACACTAAGAGTTTCTTTGGAGGCGACGCTCTTTCAAAAGTATCCTGAAGATAGCTCAAAATTTGAAATATATTATAAATATGTAATTATATAAATATATAAATAAATAGCTCATAATGAAGATAGTACATAATTTTATTAATGTACTTGATGCCTAGCAAAAGTCATTTAATCTCTGCTGTGATGAAGACCATTTTTAAGTTGTTTAAAATAGCCTATACAAGGCTGTTTGCAAATGAGCCTTATCCAACTCCGTGGCTGTCACAGAAGATGGATCAAGCCCTGTATCACATGAGAGGGAAAACATTAAAGAGGTGGGGTTAAATACTCAGCACCTGATAGGACAAATGCATGCAAGGTTTATTTTGCAGGGTAGTCACGAGCATATACCGGAGATAAAGATAAATTGTGATGATTAATTTATCTTCCAATACAAAATAATTTTCCAGTGATTTTCCTAGAATGTTCATGAGTCAGTTCATTTGCAGCACCTGCTTCATAGATCTATTTTACTCCCATATAGGACTTTATCTAATGAAAACACATCTCCTCTATCTATATTGAAGGTTCATCCACTGAGTATCCTGGGTACTCTGCAGCCATAGATAACAACCCTGACATGACCCACATTCTGGGGTTTCATATGCAGAACTCTTTCATCAGAGAACTTACAGCCTGCTCTTAATAAAAGGGCAATTTATTCCTGCCAGCTGCAAAATTATCCTCATTCACAGGGTGATATAAGCAGTCTGTCTTGGTATGTCTCCTTCAATAACTGAGAATAAAAGGATTGGTACAACATGAACTTCCCATTACTGCTCCACTGCTGCCACAGTCCCTTCACTGCCTCTAAATAAACCCCATGTGCAGTACAAGTGCACTAATTTTTCTGCCTGAGAAATACAATATCCCATGAATATGAGCAGGATTGATATTGGTGTCAGTCAGTAGAGAGCTTTCTAATATTCTAGGATTTTCTAAGCAACAATCTCCCCCCCTTCTATTCTTTAAAGAGAATGTTTTACAGGAGTGTTATAGAGTCAAAAAGAACAAGCATCAAAGTGTGCATTTTACATCTAAACTGATGGAATCACAACTATTTTTGATTAATATGCTAACCGTGTGCCAAATTGTCATGACTGTTTATGTGTGAATATGCACAAACATACACTAGCTCTAAAGTCTGGTGGGTTTTGCTTTATGGCAGCAATAAAGACATGCTCAGGCCAGGCAGGAACTGGAGCATGTTCATGAATCATTGATCAGTCTCAGGGCAGACCCAGAACTTCCTTTTGCTAGTATGCCCAGATGGGCTATTACTGTTATAGGGAAGTGATGTAGAGAAAGAGGATGGTGCTGAGCCAGACAAAGAGAACAGGAGCAGCTCTTGCCTTGGGAATAGCGGGGTCCGTCCCATCAAAATCTCATACTTCTTACTAAATGCCTTTTTTTTCATTCTGTCTTAATGGTAACATGTGCATAGCACAATACAAGTTGTAAGTAGGAGGCAATGTGCCACAATAAATGCAGGATGTCAGATGTTACAGCATGCTCAATATGCACTTTCCATATATATGTGTGTGTGTGTGTGTGTGTGTGTGTGTATATACATATATATATGTATGTATTTTTTTACTGGTGTTTTAATGCATCATAATGTTCTCATGCATTTATCCACCTGTACATTATCTCTGTTCCAGAAATTTTTCTGGCTGTCCTCAAGCTTTCAGAGATAAGCCTGCAACAATTCAGTCAGTGTGAAAATGTTGCAGAAGAAAATTACAAGGCCTTTTACAAGGTTATGACTCTTTGGTTTCCAAAACAGCAAAGTTTAACACTGAAGTTGTTTTGTCTTCTTGTTGTGTTACTGTTAGGAGTAGCACACACTGTTCTTGCTTTGTGCTTTGCTGCTCACTGAAATATCAACTGTGTTAACCTTGCGCAGATTTGCAGCTGTGCACAAATCTACTCTTGTGTTTTCTGCTGAGAGCTTCACCACTCAAAATGTGTTAGAGCTGCCACTGAGGTGCTTCATTCTAACTAGCTTCTAGTGAAACATCATTCTCCTGTTGAGGTGGCTAATAGGGGTTTTATAGCCTTATGGGAAGGCTGTTTTAATTCTCTATGTCTACTAGTCACACCTAGTAAGGAAACAAAACAAGAGAGACAACTTAAGGGCTGGTTACTACATCCAGTTCCCTCCTGTAGTGTGCTTAGCAATTGCACACATCCTTTCATTGACATCGTGCATGGTACATGAGTGCAAGGGCAGGAAGCATTCTTTTGGCAGTGATATAATGAAGAACTCAAATATAATGGATATTGTTCAGTTTCAACACTGTAGTGGCGCAGATTAACCAATGCACCTACAATGAAACTACAAGGGACAGTGAAAACATCAGAAACCCAGAGGAAAGGGGATAGAACCAGAAGCATCTCACCTGGCGAATGTTACTCTGGTTTTAGTGGTCACTATCCTCAGAGGCATGAATGAGTGATTTAGACAAGTTTATATGGTGTCCTGTCAAAGGGAGACTGCATTTCAGCAGTTTCTCTCTCTGGAAAGGGAAATGACTGCAGCTGTATAGTCACAGTACAGCTGTCATGAATTGCACAATTCCCCCAGCAAAGATAGAAGTCCAACCTGTGCAACGGTCTATAAAAACCACAAAGATTCTCCTTGATTTCTGTGAAATTAAGGAACAGCTCTTGGCAGAATCAGCAGTATCATAAATAGGCAGATGGTTCAGTAAGTAGCAGAGAAGGAGTATTGCTGTACTCCTTTCCTAATTTAGTATGAAAAGAGGGGTTTTGTACATAGTACATTTAGGTACTTGTACATAGACCCTCCTGCATTCCCTGAATTGAAAGAAATATGTTCAGCCTCTTGATTTACACTTCTACTATGTAGAATTATTTTGTGCAGCTGCTCTCTAAAGCTCAGCATACCTCCTTTTAAACTGAGCTAAGAATGTCATGTTAATGACATTCAGAAGGGAAGCCACAGGGCACCTCTCCACTAGCATCAGCCCTAACAATGTACAAATCTAAAGGGTTCAAAAATCATTCAGCTAATGCAGTTAGAAAATAAAACAATCAAGGAAGTTTTAAAGATCTTACATGCCTAATAATTTGAAATCATATCCTGTTCATAGACTGATATTAGAGGAAGTTAAATAAAGTTAATTAGCAGGTATTTTAGCATTCTGCTCTGTTTAATTCTATTGCTACATCCTGCAATATCAGAATATCCAGAGGCTAATAATGAAAAAGATTTGGAAAATTCTGTCTTGACTTAGTGGCTGTCATGGGCAATTTTTCTTACGCCATTGCTGTACAATGTAATTACAGGTACTTGTAAAAGTACCTTTTACAAGTACCTGTAACTAAAATTACCTGTACAGGTAATTTTACAAGTTACCTGACAAGATTTTGCTGTCAGAGATGCAAGTGGTCACTCAGCCACACTGCTAAGGGGAGGAAATTGGAGGAACATTTTTTTTATTATTTGATTACTTAGAGGAAACAACAATAAAGCCACAGCCTTCGAGGCATATTCTGTTACCTGACTCACCTCAGCCTCTTAAACTGAGGAGGAAGAGGTGCTTTCAATAACACAATACCCATCAGGAGATGGCCAGGAGCTGTGCCACCAGGTAGAAATACTGGCTTATGAAGCCAAGGGGGTGACTTCTCAGGAAAAATGGAGAGATTACAGTGTGTACACTATACATATACAGTCCCTGGAGCAGATAGTATGTCTAATAAAAAGAGGTATGACAACTATAAATCCAAATTTTTTGAAAATGAAATCTCTCTTTTGGGTACTCCCTAGAAGCCTGGTGCTAGACTCCTGAATGAGTTCACAGCAGCCTAAGCAAGCAGACTCACATGTTAAAAAGCCTGAAGCACCAGATATGTTTGGTGCACATGGTTCATCCATGTTTCAGCTTTGCAGAGACAACAGAAGCAAATAGTGTAGAGTTGTGCTTTCATCAAGCATCTAAATTTATGCAGTGGAACAACTCTGCCAGAGAGCAGGTCCCCACAGCCACATGGACTCTCACTAAATCCCTCTCTCTAACCTCCCACTACAGCAGGCCAGAGAGCAGGAATCAGTCATTCTGTGCCAGCTGCAAGCAGCAGTTTCTGGACAAGTCCTTCACTCACATGTTCTGTGTAAAGCCAAGTTACAATTCCTTAAACTCCCTCTATAACCTGCTTGATAAAGACCTATGCTATTTACTGGGGATAGGTGGATAGCAACATGATTTTATGTCTCAGCCAAAACAAATCCAATTTGCTTTGGCTGGTAGGACAATCTCTTCCACATGATCAGCTACTGGGACAGTAGTCTTCCCCTCACTCAGTGTTATTCCTTCTCCTAATCCAACTTTCTTCCATCTCTCACTTGCCCAGTCACTCACAGGATGCACAATGAAAGCCAAAATACCCTGCAGAAGAACAAACTAATGGAAAAATCCCTGACTGGCAATGCAATTTCATTCCCTGATAACATTGCATTCAATTCCAAACCTAGGATCCAGTAGAACAAATGTTTTTTTGCAGGATGAAGCACCCAGCACAGGAAACATTACACCAGCTCCAGCTGCCAACTCCATCAGCCTGACTTCTTCACTAATACCACATTTCAAGGTCGACCATGCATCTGACAACTTCATGGGCTCCAGTGGAGCTGCATTTCTTGTTCCAAGGTAATACCCCTTCCTCTGTACATTCCATTATTTTGCTGTGTGTTGGAAGAGCTTTCTGCACTGGAGGAAGTGAACTCTGTTCCTGCCAGAGCTTCAGAAATCTCACTAAAAAACTTTCTTTGTCATTCTGTGTTAATAAATGTTGATGTGCAATGGCAACATGGCACGGTGGAGGCAATGTGTGATTCTGGAGATAACTGGTACGATTTGCTTTCATATGCTTGTGTGTATAAATGTATATATATGCATGTATATATATTTTTCTACTGTTTATATGTGTCATAGACTTCTTATGCATTTGGGCCTCTGTGTAGGAGCTTTCACTGAGGATTTTTCTGACTATCCCCAAGCTTGTAGAATTCAGGCCTGTGGGACTTAGGACTGATGAGGGAGAAAAATCACAATCTGATCTTATACAAGGAAACAGCCCTCTTTTCTCCTGTGTTTCAAAGCATAGCAACTAATTTTTTTTTTTTGATCTGGTTAATATTATCTAATGATAATATTATTATAATATTATGTGATGAGTGACCCATATTGGTCTTAATTTCTATAATGGTGTTCTCACAACCCTCCACTATTTGCACACATATACATGAATCTACACAGAATTTTATAAGATCTGGAAAAAACACTGGCGCCACTACCATGGAAAATGAAATCTTCATTGTCAAGGGGTCCAGATTTAAACTTTTCTTTAGCAAGTAGAAGTACTGATAGATCTCACATTCATTTCTGGATTTTCATTCTTGTGCTACATGCCTTTTGAGTGACGTACTGTCCTTTTGAGGATAAGCATATCTTGAGGGCTGTGGTATGTTTTTTTAAAGTAAATACTACACAGTACAGTCACTGGATCTGTATAATATTACCAGAAACATCTGCAGATCTTCAACTCCCTCTAATCTTATTATTTTCCTGACAGATATAAACTGATGCTTCAAAATGTAACATTTACTATGAGCAAAAATGTTTCTTCTCACCAAATAGAATTCCTCTGCCAGAGAAATAGTCCAGTGACAACAGCAGTAGGGTAGGGTTTGTGATGGTGCTGTGTTCAAGAGGAAATAGAGAATATTTATAATTCTTGTTAAAGTTTCAAAGTCCCAGTCCTCTAATGTAACCTTTCAGATACTAATGGGTTTTTTCCTAAAAGTCATCAGTGGTTTGTGTCACCTGACTGAAACCTCACAGTCTCATTGTTTCCTTTGCAGTTGATTCAGAAGTCAGAATGCAGGGAAAAGAAACAGGGAAAACAAATGCAGGGAAAGAACTCAAGAAAGGGAAACTCACCATTGGTTTGTAACCATTGTAAGCATTTGAAATCAATTTAATGTTTAGGTGTTAGACTGGCAACGTTTGTTCTTGTTAGAATACTTGGACTTGCAATATTCTAACAACTAAAATGCAGCTGCAGATGCTGTGGGATAGCATCTAATCAGTGTAGGTTTGCATGCTCACACATGGTCTGGAATGGCTCTTAAAGACTTCAGCCAGTTGTAAGAGCTGGTAATTGTCTAATGAGAAAGAACAACTTGGATAAGTACTACCCACTGGTGAGATTAACTTTTCATACTTATTTACCATAGATAACCTAAAATTCTCGTCCTTTCTGTAATGCAGTTATCTAACATGACTTGTGCTGTGATTGTGTTTTCTGACAATCCCTCTTCCTTGTCTAACTTTGATCTGAAGTGACATTTATTTTCCAACATGATGCAGTGAGATGAGAAGTACCTGGCTCATAAAGCTGTTGGCAAACATGGATTGAAGGAGGTTGCACCGCTTCATGGCCAGCCTGTATTTTGACTGTATTATGCCATGCACAAGACTGTTGAACGATCAGGTTGTTTCAGCCTACTGAAAATGGTATTCACATTTATGGTACTGGTGGAAGAATGAAGAGAAGTTTGTATATGGGTCTGTAACTTTCCAGAATATGCTAATTCACTGCTCTTAAATAAAATGTACAAATCCAGGTCTTCTTGTTGTGCCAACATCTCTGGTTAATGTTTCAGTCTTATACTGTTCATCCAGATTCCTACTTCTCAGTACACAGGCATCATCTTCTGAATGATTTAATAACAGCTTGTAAGCTGTACCTTTTGCAACCTACATCACTTTCAGAAATTTGAATAAGAATGGATTTCATTTCTAGCTTGATTTATTCAGCTGGGTTTACCATTAGAATATTTGTTAATTCAAGGTTGGTTTAATTGAAACTATGGAGAAATATTGTCATTTCATTAAAACTTTATCCATTAAAGTCAAGCTTCTAGAAAGATGTATAAAACCTTCCAGAGGTTTTAACTTGTTTTACATGCTGGAACTAATGCTTGAGGCTGAATTGTATGCAGTAGGTAAAAAAAAAAAGATGGTTACGCTACTTCTTTTCAGTCTTTGTCTCAAAAATTAGTCTTTCATTCACAGTGAGACAGATGTAGTTAAATGAGAAGCTCTGTCAAAGTTAGGCAAGAAATTAATTGGACTGGAATTTGGAAGTTTGTTGATGAACATTTAAAAATAATGCAGTTTGGGTGTTCAGCAGATCAAAGGAAAACTGAAGTAGGGAAAAACTGCTGAGTTTTAAAAGCCAGTTTCACAGTAAGTACTTCAAGTTCCCTGTAAGCAATTCAAATATTCCGAAGTTCAGGAGCACAGCTGCAACCACCCTCTGTAATATAAAGAAATGTACTTTCTCTCCCCCTAAAAAGGTTATCATTAAATCCTCTAAACAATCCTTTATGAGCAAAATGAATGCTGACCAAGCCATGGATCAGCAAAATTATAAGGAAAGAATAATTTTCTTCAGCTAAAAGAAAGAGAATTTCAGAGATTTGTGCTTTAAAAGTGAAAGACTTTTTTCTACACTCAATTGGAAGTTGAACAACATGTATGGAAATCAAAATTTTTTCTTCTTTTCTTTTTTACTAGCTTTTTTGATCTATTTATTGGAAACCATATGCTTTTCTAATCAGATATAAAAGCTAAAACTTAAAAATATGAGAAGCAGATACAATACACCAGTGAAGCAGTTTCAACATGCTTCAGTTACTGATTTAAATTATATTTATATGCTGTGCTAGTGGCATAAAAAGATTAGTGGAAGAAGATGTTGGTTGATTCAAAATGATAGACTGTACCAGGCCTGGCTGTTTCATTAGATTCAATCTACAAGTCCCAATTTGCATATTCACACCCATTCTTCCAGTGTAGACAGGTCTTTCTCCTAAACTTAGAGGCTGCCAGCTGCAGATAGTAAACATGAAATAGTGCAGTACTTGTTACAAAATGTGAATGTACTACTTTTAGGCAACATCAATTGAACTGCTTGTGTTAGACTCCTCTGAATTTTGACACAAGTAAAAATTCATCTGGTGAACAAAAAGGTCTCTCCTCTTGCCTAATGAAGTGAATTGTATTTGTTTGATTTTGTATTGTGTTACATTTAAAGACCCAAAAATGTTTCAAATTTTGTGTTGTAGATTGATTGCATCTTGTCAACTGCTCCTTTTGTCACAATATGAGATCCATATAAACACTAATTCCCAGAATAAGTTGTTATGAGGTAAAATAAATAGTAAATAATAAAATATCTAACTAAATGTCTTGCAGAAGAACTGTTTATTTAAATCTAAGTTCTAACAAGAGAGGTGCTTAAATCTTAATGCAGTAAAACCAAGTATGAAAACAAATAATATGTTTGTGTCTTGAAACTTAGTAAGTTTATGTGAGAAAAATGAGAAGGACAATTCTAAGTCCATCCTCCTTTGTGCTGCAGCAGCATACATACATGCTAATAATAAAATGGCAGTGGAAGTTTCCAAAATGCAAATAGAGAAGGCCTGAAACTTGTCCTTTTAGGTTTGTTGACAATGTTTACTGTAATTATTTCTCACTTTTAGGAAAGCAAGGCATTCAGGCTAGAAATTTCCATTCCTTGATTTTGTAACAGTTTTTTTCAGAGGGCTTGAGTAAGATCATTTTTGCATAGACTGGAAAAATTAAAATGTGGAACTTTCTTAACAATGTTAACACATAAAGCCAGAAAACAAAAAAGCTCTATGAGGATAATCTCCAATCATATCTGCCCTGAAGTACAGCACAATGAAGGCACTGCACCTTACTCTGTGGGCTGAGTGACAGGAAAAGCAGTAGCGACCTCAGAGTTTTTGCAGGAAGCTAATACCCGTGGCCATGAAAGGCTCTTGTAGCTGTCACTGTCATTCTTGCAATTTTGGAGGAAGATTGTACCAATCTTGACTGCTTTTCTTGTGGGCACACAGTGTGCTAGTTACATAGCATGATAGTTTATGTAATCACACTGTGTTTGTTCACTGAAGTGTAGCTTTGCGAAGTGAGACCATTAAATGCTATGGGCTACGTTGAATTCAGTCACTCTGCACCACAAGTGCAAGCTAAGCCAAAGAGACCTTGGCTTTTTTGCATTCAAAATGTGACATTGCAGCATTAGATACTTTGAAAACAAGCTGTAGACAATTCAGGCTGGGTACATAAATGAACAGAAATACCTCTCTTCAGTTTCTGACTGTATTCTCCTCTTCAAGTATCAAGTGAGCTGTGAAACATCCTAGTGCTGTGCTCACAAGCAGCATAAAGGATCATGAGAAAATAAAGAGTTCTGTCTTTAGAACACTATTTCTGTAGTTTAGTGTAAATGTGATAAATAAGGCAGAATAATGCATTACCTGAACATTGTGGGGAAAACCATCACCAAAATACTGAATTGCTGTCTATCTCCCGAGCACTGCCCAGCTGTGTGCTGAATGAGGCAGGGGCACCACTGGAAAATGTCACTCAGTTATGTGGCTGGACAGTGATGGCCCCTATGTTTGCATTTCTTAACTTCAGAAATCTTGACTTAATATGTTTTCTGTCTGTGGTGGGCTTGTTTTGTAAGTATGATGTATTCAAGGAGCATCAAAGTTTTTGTAATGTGGTAAACAACAATCAAGAGAGTTTGTATTTCCTTGACTAGTGGTCATAAAATAATGACAGAAAAGATGGAGAAAGCCTCATAAACTCTACAGCAAAAATGTAATAACTTTTCAGCTTTATATAATTATTCCAATTTTAAAAATGTTTTCCTTGTTTCTGTCAGCATTTCTTCAGACTCTGCTTCCTATCCTGTGCTGTCACCTGCATTTCAGCACAGAAACCACTGAAAATATGGATGAGAGCAACTATTTCAAAATCCCTTCTATATTTACATATTGTAACAAAAATACAATGCCTTCAGCATTCAGCAAGTGATTCGCAACATCAAAACTCTAGTTTTCTCTATATAAAACGAGCTCAAAAGTGAGCCAAAACTTCACAAATAACAAAAATAAAATAATGAAAGTTAAAAGTCTGTTAAAAAAATTGTACCGTACCAGCATTTAATAGCATTTTAGCATTTTGATGTTTTTCATTCTAAAAATGCCTTTTTTTTCCCTTCAAATTCTGTGCTAAAATATTGCATAAATTCCTGGCCAGATAATTGCATGTCTGAAATAAAATAGCTATGAATCAAATGCAATATGAAGTGTTAGGTTATAGGTTATTACCTTTAGACATGAAAAAATATATATACAAAAAAATGTTATCTGTAGTGACTGGATTCTGAATTTTTATTTTCTCTTCCAATTCAGAAATGACTGTGAGTATTGCTCTCAGGGTCGAACTGTTAGCTGAATTTGTATGTATATCAAATCTATGTAAAACAATTCTGTAAAATTACTAAGACCCTGAAAAAATTCAGTAATTTCTCCCTAATTTATACTTGGTTTCAAGCCATTTCCCAATTTAAATTTTAATACTATACTTTACAATTCAGATGCAATAGCAATAATGCTTCTGAGCCTCACACAGATCAAAACTAAAAATCTTTGACAGCCAACCTGACAACATCATAAATGTAAACCATCTAATTGTAGGCAATATAAATTAATACTGTAAGTTAAGTAGACAAATTCAATGCAAAGATAAAGGACCAAGTGTAGAGTTGCATAAATATTCAATTAGTTGAAATTGTTTAAAGCTAATAAATAATTGCCTAGCTTTGGACAAACATATATAATAGCTGCAAAAAAATCATCATCTAACATGTATTTAAACTATTCTGCAGGTCTAATGTAATTAAATGCATGAACATCAGTGCAAGATGGAGAATTTAGGAGGTAGAGAGCTTAATAATACCTGCATAGTATTAGTATATATATTATTAAACCTGAGAATTTAATAATACCTGCCAGTTTATTTTATTCAGGAAGGACAGTACCAACACCAGCATTATGTTCAGGTGCACTTTTCAGGAGAGCAAGAGCATAGTAGCATTTAAATCTTTTGCAGAACTGGTGTCTCATTTGTGATCATGTGCCTCCAAATACCACAGAACTGCTTAAACCAGTGGAGAAAGTGTTCAGCGGGTGTCAGATGGAAAACCACGTCCAGGAAATGCACTAGGTGGCACAGAGGTGTTTATTTAGAGCAGTGCAGAGTGGTAGGAGATCTCAGAGGCTTAATAAAGCAGCAGGGCTTAGCAGCAATGTAAACTAATGCTTTTTATGCAATTTGCCACTGCAGACATTTAAAATTGTGATTCTGCTGTAGCAGAAGAATATTGACCATCACTTTTTATCTTGAAAGGGTTAGGATTATATGAAATAAATTTACTGCCTTGACAGACCACAGGGACTCGTGAATTTCCACTTGTGTTTCTCTTTCTTTCTGCTCAGAATTTCCTTTCCAACTTTTTACAGGAATTACATGAACTTTTTGGAGTTATATCTGCTAATGGAGCACAGATGCCTAGGAGAAAACCTACAGTCTCCCTAAGGTGTAACTCTGACACAAAACAGTTGCTAAAGATTATTGTAGCAAAATGTTATTGTCTTCATAATTCATTCCTAAATCAGCTGTTGGGGGAAAGGCCAGCATGTCTCCAGGCTCTTCTCTCCAGAAGTTCCACCTTTTTGCTATGGGTTTCTTAGTTTCCTGCTCTGGGAAAAGGACTGACATTAAGGATAATGAATGTACCGACTCACACTTCTGTTAACTATTAAGTCATATTAAAGAGTCTCCCTTTGTGTGGGCAGAGGAAGCTGGGCCTCATTAAGAGTTCAGAAGGAAAGATTAACATACTAATTAATGCACTAGAAAATGACAGCCAAGATCTCTGGATCTGATTTCAGGTTGTGTTCTAGCTGCAATAACTCAAGTCACTTCTAGATTTTGTCAGAATTTTTTCCATTAGAAGATTTTTCATACTCAAAAATTTAAGTAGGATTTCAACACTAATAGTGTTAGATATCAACCGTGATAGTTTCTGTTCCTTCTGAGAGACACAGCTTGTATCTCGTCATCACTACATAACATTGTCATGGCTTTAGTTAACTCAGTGCAAAATCGAAGATGAAACCCAGACAGAATCACCCCCCGTATTGTAGTTCTGTAGACAAAGTAGTGAAAATTAGATTTATTCATTTTATAGTTACTAGCTTGGTTTGGGAAAAACTCATCAAATTTTATGGTGCTCCTTCTCTCAGTAAGTAAATAGAAAAGGCAATTTTATATCTCTGTTGCTAGACTAAAGCACTTCTTTTATTGCTTATTTTCAAAACTTCAAAATCTTGTATGAACAAAGATGCTGCTTTCTGAACTGTGAAATTTCCTCAGAGATGATAAATATTGGGTGTATGGAGGATTGGATTTGTATTTTGCTCTTAGCAAAGGGTTGTTTACACAGGCAGCAAGGAAACAGAAAGTCATATGGCCATTAAGAACTACTATGTCAAGTGGCTGTCAGTGTCCCAAGAAGACATCCATCAAAATAAGCTACCCCTCCTATTTGTAAAGATTTGTATTGTATTTCAAAAATATTTACATCTCTCACTAGAATATTTGGAGATGGGTAATAAAAAATAGAATAAAATAGAAGTGACGGTAATTGTTTCAGCATATTCTGAAATTCTAAGCATATTTACTAGTATTTATTGTACATTATATCACTTTGAGGGTGTCAAATTAAAGCTGTGAGCTAAAGGAGCTAACAAAGGAATTAGAAGCTGACTAGAGACTTCATTTTATTCAGACATTTGTTCATTCAGCCTTTGTTAAGTGCTACTGACTGCTCACTCTTCCCCAAGCTATTTCCATTTTTCTGCAGTTGTTAAATACTATTTAAATGCATAGGGTTTATCTTTTTGGCTTGATAATGAATGGAGTCCACAGAAAATAAGTGCAGTTGCCTTTCACTTGGTTTTGTTCCTTTGCTTTTATCATCCATTTCTTGCCTTTCTATGATATCTTTAGATCTTAACTTCTTCCAGGTGAAAGCATTATATTTTTCCATGCATTCACTTGGTTCATTTTCCCTAGGTACACTTTAGAATCATAGGATTAAGGTTGGAGAAGACCTCCAAGATCAAGTCTAACCTTTGGCAGAACACCACCATTCCATATTGCAAAGTGCCACGATTTTAATGTATCTTAAAATTTAAATGTATTTTAATTGCTAATAATCGCATTTTCACCTGTAGACTCAACTTGTTTGCAAAATTCTCAGCTGAACATTTTTTAAGACTTTTTCCC